TACAATCATACAGATGTGCTTGTTCTGTATATAGAGGGAAGACCAGATGAGCCATGTACAGTGTTGGATACGTCTTGCCATCAGTACTGTTGCGGTTTGGATCAAATTCTAGTTTGTGATGGCAGGAGAGATTGGGGACACCTCTCTTGTCTTTACTGGCAGCCCCTCAGTAAATCATCGTAGCAGTACTATCATTTGGCTGCCTAAGGGTTGTGCTGCTTATGCTTCTTAAAAGCTTGTACTCTGTCTTTTTGCTTGGAGATCCCTTTCTCTGCTCTCATCTGGGGTGTTTTTGTTTGGTTTTTTTTTTTCTTTTTCTTCTCCACAGGCACTCTTGCCCAAACAAACACTTAAACTCCCTTACGTTGCTGCATCATTCAGATTCCAGAACAGACTCACAAATCTTATTTTGGGTGGTGCTTTCACTTGGAAACAGGTGATATGTTACCAACTTGCCTTTTTACTTGTAACTGACTTCTTAGTTTGTCTCTACTGGCTTTTACAATTGTCTTAAACCAGGGCTGGGAACTCTGCCCAACAGTATAAATGAGCATTGTGGCATTATGAACCAACCACTCCCCTGCGAGTGAGGGATAAAGTACAATCACGTTAGTATTTAGATTTTTCTGTTAAAAAGGAAAATGTTCACATTATGTTTTTTATAATTGCACAAAACCTGCTGTCTGTGCAAGATACATGGGTTAATATCTCCTGATCTTTAATGTGTTCAGCCTTGCAGTGGCTCTGTCAGGTAGGAAAGTACTTCTTCCACATTCACAGGAGGAAGGCTGTTCTTGGCCCATCTTTCCTCTTTAGCATGTCTCTGGATTTTAAAAACAGAGAAAGAAAGTGTCGTCCAGATTAGGGGAAGGAAAACCCACTACACAGTGGCCTATTAAACTGGAAGTGTATAATCATTAGTATGCTCTGATACAGTGTATCTCTTCACTCGTTAACGCTGCCGGATGGTTAGTCACATCCAACTGACCTGTAGAAGAGGACAGCATCTTCCGTGCCTTCTTTCAGTTTTGCAAGATGTGCTGTGAAAGCCCTTGCATAAGCCTGTAGGCAGCAGTAATATTGGTGATAAACAGGATTTGCTCACTTCCTGACCAGGCGTCGTTCTGACTTACGTATTCTCGCAGTCTCCCCGTATACGCACGTCCTTCCAAAGAGCTGCTCCTTTTCGAGCCATGTGCCAGTATTTGCTTGAGCTGTGAGAGTTAAAATAATGTTTAGACTTAAATTTTATACACAGTTTCCAACCCTACTATACAATGAGTGTGCATGGCTTTCTACAAATATGCAGTAATAGGAAACTACTATTTGAAAGCTGTTTGTGGCAAAAAGCTGTATCGGTTTGCTAGCTGATCTACTGCTAGCATCTGTCCCTTTTGTCTCTTTGTCCTTTCCAGCAGCTTTCCGCAGCCAAATTTTGCATTTTATTTTAAGTATTGATGAGGGGTTTATGTGGTCTGTTTCTTGAAAGCTAAAAGCTGTGAGGTACAAAACCTGCTCTTTCAGTTAAAGAAGATCCAGATGCTAAGCTCTATGAAGAAGAACATTGGGACACTTTTCTTGACAGGATGCTGTATAAGATGCTCCTGTATTATTTTGGGGGGAGAGATACCAGTCTGCACACCGTAGCTGGGTTCCTGATTTTGCCAGTCTTCCTCTACCCAGTAAATGTTCCTGCTCCCCTTTGTGCCCCACAGTGACCCCGGCACCTTGCCTTGCTCCCCCCACTTGTCGCATTGCTTGGTGCTTCCACCAGGACAAAACCCTTCATCGCTCCCTCCTCCAGGGACCTTGGTTTGGCACAGTGGAGCCCAGCACCCTGCACTATATGGTGTCACCCCAGCAGTACACTGCGGAGCCATGGAGGGCACTGGGGAATGAGGGGGCCAGGCAGGCCTTCCCTGACCCATGCCAGCCCCTGTGAGCCGAGTGGGGCAGCCTTGAGGTGCAGCAGGCTCAGCCAGGAGCCCCACACAAGATCTGGCCATGGGGGTGAGGCAGCTTTGCAGCCAGGCTGGGGGTCAGTCCATGGGACAGGGTTGGGGTCAATGCGGTAGAAGGTCAGACACAGGTATGACTGCAATGTCAGGGGCGAAAGCCTCAGCTTAAAAGCCTTCTCCATGTTTCTTGTCTCCTTCCTGGTTTCCTACCTGCAACCTGGCTGCCTCATACAGTGCTGTTTCCTCTGTTAAGCAATTCCGTCTTCAGTCCTGCCCCTCGTAGCTCAGGGTTTCTGGGTTGGTGATGCTTGCTGTTGCCATCTCTGATTCCTGAAGCTGTCCTACGTAGCTGCTGCTCCCCAATGTCTCCTGTACTGGGCTCAAGGGCCATGGCAGAGCAGGGAGGAAGGTGTGGAGCGAAGCAGCATGGGGAAGGATGGACCTGCAATGAGGAAGTGAAGAGGCTACGGCCCACTGTGAAGGAGGGAGGGATGGAGGTTTAAAAAAAAAAAGAAAACGAGGGGTGTGCTTCAAATTACTACAGGACTTCTTGATTTGGGAGGCGGGTTACAGCTCCTGCATCGCTGGGGTGCTGTACTTTGCAGCTGGGAACGCTGGCCAGCTGTACAATACCTAGTGCTGGGGGCTTTGCAGTATGTTCTGCTGTTGTGTCTGTCAGGTGCAAGTAAATCTTATCATATCACTTTATTCACGAAATAGGCATAGAAATCTCAGGAAGACACCAGACTGTAGTGTTTTACTTGTGCTTATGAAGCTTCACTAAGAAATACTCAAGATCATTTGAGACCCTTGCAAGGACACATGGAGTCTTATATTTCAATAAATAGCAAAAAGACTAGCAACAGCTTTTTGTGAAGTTAAGAAGAAAATTAATCTTCCTGGGGCTTTCTGGGTAACCTGAGGTATCCCTGAGGGGGGTGAGGAGCAGGTACCCACCAGAGGGCCCTCCTTCCCTGCACCTTGGTGGCCTCGCCGCAGAAGTGTAGCTCACACCTGCAGAGCTCCTTGGAAGGCTTTGGGAAAGCTGCAAGTCAGAAATTACTTCTTCCACTTCACCCCTGTATTCATCTGAGCAGGCAGTTAGGATTTCAATATTGGAAATCTGCTTTTCATCCTGTAGCTTAATTCTCTAGATGAATGCTGTGTGGAGTGTGAATAGCATTGAATTATAAAAGGTGTTTTCTTCAGTGAAGTTACATGTGATCCTGACAGGCAGCGGTTTAGCTCAGTGCAAATAGCATGTTATCATGAGGTGTGCAGAAGGGAACAGAATCAAATGCATTATCTCTTGGTGTTTCACACGTATAGTATTAGTATTGGGGGGAAGCCTTCATAAGCAAGAAACTTGAGCTTAGATTCAGGTTGTGTAAAAAGTCAAGGTATTTTAAATGCATTAACTATGGTACCTGGTGTACCCTTTGGAAAGGCTACCCTGTTTCTCCTTTAGGCTATGATCATGTGAATAGCTTCATACAAACTGGGCTACCATCTGTAGTACAGGCACCGACCTGAAAAGCACGGCTCCAAACCAGAGTCCTTTGTCCACCTTTCTGCTGCAGACTGCCTTACTCCAAGTATTTCTAGAGACCACCCTTGACCGTAACTCTTCACAGCACATACTAACAATTCAGAGTATCACTTTATTTACTGTTCTGGCAAATGTGGCAAACTTAAGAGTGAAAGGATGAAAGGTGAAGGGACAGTGCAGAGCAATGTGTATGGTCTTTGGACTGAAAGACACTGCATGCTTTGCTTTCACAACTTGTGTAGTCTGTAGATCTGGTTTTTTCCTCATTTGTTCTTGATGAAAGCTTTGCAAGCTTTAATCTTCCATTGTGCTTGAAAGGAAGGAAATGCGTATCTGTAGCCACTCTGAAACACGGTAACTGGGAACTAATTCACGTAAACTTTCAGCAGCTTTTTTTTTTTTTAATTATTTTGGTTATACTTAAGGAAGCCTTAACACTAAATGCATTCGATGGGAATTGCACCCACTGGTTATTCTAAATCCCCCTAGCTCTAGATTCAAGCTTAATATATTTAATTTTGGTGTGCCAAATGTTACTTAAAGGTCTACCTTGACAATTGTGCTTTGATACTAGTTTTAGGTTTTAAGATTTTGTGTATTTTCTCGTGACTTATGTTTATAGTGGCTTTTAGAGGAAAAGCTATTGGTGCACCCTCCAAAAAACTTGTCATGGCTTTCTGAGAAAAACCAATGCAAGGGCTAAAACCTGTTAGCAGAGAGGAATAGAATTATGGATTTGACCTTCTCCTTGAAGCAGCACCAAAAAGACTCTGGATCTTTTGTAATGTTTAATCTGGGAAAACATCCTGGACTCAATATTCGGGAGCATATTTAACAAAGCATTTAAAACCAGCACTTTACCTGACACATGTTGAAATGCTCTAAACTTCTATTATACCACCTTCAGTGACTTGCAGCCCCGTCTGCCTTGTGGAAACTCTTGAATGGCGTTCTCTGTGCCTTGCTGAGCCAATAGCATGTTGCTTCAGTCACGGCTAACTAACCATTGGGGCTGGAATAGGCAGGAGGTATCTGGCCACATGTGAAGGCTACTTTGTGGGATGCATGTTGTGATTGATGTGGGATGTAGCACACTGTTCTGCACAGAAAATACTATACTAAAGGTACTTTAGAGTAGCAAACTAGTTTATTCCTTGGTGTGTGCACCACAGTGAATGAACTCAACAGATCTGTGGGAAAGTGCAGCCTGTTTGCTGTGAGGGAGGACCTGGCTCTTGACTCTTGTTGCTGATACCTGTTTGCTAGTAAGTCATCTCTGTGTTGTCTCAGCAAAGTCTTAAAGCACCTCTTTCTGACAGGGTCAGGAAACTCCCTTGCTCAGAGCTTAATAATATTTGCTTTTCTTAGTCACAAAGCACTGCTAACATAAAAATGTGAGTGAATTTTAAGCAAACACAGCTGCACGTTTGCATTGGTGTGGCGGTCATTTTTGTGCTTGTGGTCATTTCGTCTTGCTTTGTTTTATCAATCAGAATTACTGGATGGGACTTCAGTGGTGTATTGCCATCAGCCATCTTGTAGCTTCAGATAAGACTTCAGCAGATGTGATAGGAAGAAATGGAGCTTTTTGCTCTAGCCCTAGAGGTGTTTGCACTGCCATGGAGGAGTCTGTAATTGCCCTGGTGCTTTCACTGTTATTCTGGAAAAGCTGTTGTAATCTGCTGCACCTATTTACTGCCTGAGAGATTTCTCTCCTCTTCAGCCGCTGAGTATCTGTAAAAGAAATCAAACTGGGGCATTGCTATCTCCACACTCCTCATAAGGGAGAAGTGTTGAGGGAGTAGCAGTGCTCTCTTAACAGCCTTCCCTCAGTTTGTTCTTCAGTCAAGCTGTTCTGTTGAAGCTAAACCTCAGAAAAGCTTCATATTTATGTTGTAGGTGGAATTTTCTGCCTCAGATACTTGAAGGAATCCCCCTTTTGGTGAAAATTTCTCCTTAGGTTGGTTTAGCTGCAACACAAAGCCTTGCTTTCTGAAGAAGGATGTACAGGCAGGGTGGCAATGCCAGGACATCCTTACCTTCCTGCTTAACTGGTAGCGACTCATTTGGCATGTGCTAAGGAGATGTTTAGGATAAGCTGTTGATAGGCTTGAGCAAATTATAAAATGAGTTCTCTGGAGCATGAAGCCATCAATACATTGTTTGCATTCCAAGTAGGTAAATGATGATGTGTCACAGTTGCTCATTTTCTTTGTTTAAAGAATTTCTAAAGAACTGTACAGGGAATTTTTGTAATTCCCTGTAATTAAGGGAAATAAATACACGAGTCATTCAGGAATTCGGTAACGTCAGCCACCTGATGTGTGTTATAACTGGTTTTGTTTGCTCTAGGATCACCAGTTGGTAATCCAAATCCAGATTTCACCCTTTCAGGGGGAAAAAAGCAAGCTAGGGATTTCTCTGTATTTAAACATTACAAGGTACTCTGTATTAGGTATAGCTGGCAAGGTTTGGGGAGCTGGGGGCTCCAGGGGTGACCTGTGTGGAAAGGGACTGTGAGCTGCCCTGTGCTGGTTCTAGCTGGTTCCAGTCACCTCCAAAACAGATGAAAACAGCCTATTGCACACCAAAACTGCAACTGGTTAGGGCAGTATACTGTGCCTCTGCTTGAATGTATTTAATAAAGGGCGGTAGCTGCTAGGGACAGGAGACACAAAAGGGCACACATGAGGACAAACATGGGAGGATGTGGAAAAGGAGACATGAGGAGTCACAAAAAAGGATGTGAAAAGGTGACATGAGGCAGAAGGCACAAAAGGACATGTATGAGGACAAGTAAAAGGAGGCACAAAAGCAAAGATGTGAGGAGACACAGGACAGGATGTGAGAGGAGGTACAAGAGGACATGCAAAAGGAGATGCAAGGAGATACGTGAAGAGATGTGTCTGTAGCAAAGGGAGGAAGAAGTGGAGGAGATGTGGAAGGGGATATTGTTGGGTACATGGCTGGAGATGCTCTCCTGGAAGGAGGTGCTCTGTGCTGGAGGAGGTACCCTTGAGGGACTGTGACCCATGCTGGGGCAATGACACCCCTGAGGATCTGTGGCTTGTGGAGTACCCACACTGGGACAGGGACACCCCTGAGGGACTGTGGCCCATGGAGAGCCTGTGCCGGGGCAGGTACATGCCAAGGGACTGCAGGCTGTGGAGGATCCATGCTGGAGCAGAGGAGCAGTGGGGGGAAATGTGAGGTGCAAGGAGCAGCCAAAGGAAGCCATTTCACACTGACCTTGTGCCACCTATTGCCTCATCGAAGGAACTGGGACAGACTGAGTGTAACCTACAGTGAAAACAAGGGAAGTTGAGACTGGGGGGGCGGGGGGGGGAGAGGAGTAGAGGTGTTGGATTGAAGATAAGCCTGGATGAAGAGGAGGAAAGGTGTTTCTCAAAGTGTTTGTTTAATTGTTGGCCGGTGGTGTCTCTTCTTTTTTCTTTTTCTTTTTTCTCAGTACCTGAATCAATAATTAAAAGTTTGTTAACTTGTAATAAATTAATTTAAAGTGAAATTCCCCAAGTCAAGAACATTTTGCCTATGGCAGTATATTCATTATGCTGGAGTGTAAAGTGGTTTAGCAATGACCTGGCCAAACAGTACAAACCCTACAGGGATATAATCTGGGTAGAGTTTTCCTCCTCCATGTGTGAGACTGGCGTACTCCTGTATTGCTGCATTGGTGCTTTGGCATTTTCCTAGGTACAGCTTTCTAGAGAAGGGCCAGCACCAGCCAGTTGCAGGTGTTCACGAGTGGTGATCCTTGAACAAGTCGTGTCGGAAGAATAGATGCAGCTTTACTTGCAAACCCTTATATTCAGATTGTAAAAGATGCATTGTGGGGCAGAACTGGAGTAAACTTTTGCTGTTGATGGTGCTGTTTCTGCAGGGTGGAGTTGCATACCCATCTGTCTTCCCCCATCCCCAAACTCTTTGCTGGTGCAGTACTGCTAGCCTAGCAGTAACTATACTGTGTACTCTAGGTGTAATGTGGTTAAAAAAAAAATATCTCAATACCTCACACTTCTTCCTTCCAAACACGAGTGAAATGATAGAGAGAAAGAGAGAGAACAGAGGGAGGGCAGGTGGCAGGATCTTGCCATTTCTTGCAACTATATGGAAAGCAAGTGTGTGTTACCCTCTTAGAGTCTGAAGGAAAGCAGAGGGTATGGATGGGAAGGGCAACTCATCGTGACGTGGCTGTTCCCAGGCTGGATGATGCATCATTGTCTACGGGTAGAGTAGAAACGCTCCAAAGCAGTCTCTCTGAGAGACTGAAGATGTGTTGAAAAATCATAGGATGATAAGGCTTTTGTTCAAATGGAGGAAAAAAATTATGAGATGAAAAAATCTCTGCTGGGATTTTTTAAATTGAAGAATGATTATTCTGAAATGGAAAATTGTGTTCTGTTATTAAGCTGACCCATAGCCATCTGTAGCAGGCATAAGGTAGTTCTTTATTACATTCTGCCTGAGATTTGTCTCACAAAACTTCTGTTTTTACTGTTGGATTGTATTGATTTTATTTCTTTTAAATTATGCAGACTTTCACCAAAAGGGAAACAGGGATTAAAGCAGAGAAGACACTAAAATGTTTTCCATCTTTCAGACAATTTTTCTTCTTTAAAGACTATATTTCTTGTGAAACCTTACTGGTTTTTTTTTTCTTTATTAAGAACCTGGCACCACTTTGACTATGCAGGCTTTGAGGAAGGCATTGGCATATTGATGACAGCACCCTTCAATTAGACTGTGGGTTGACACACCTTATTTCAGAATGTTAAAAGCTGTTGGACTTTGTGGGAGATAAGCTCGGCTCTACTCTTCCATCTGCTGCAGCATATCTCTTCATGGTTAAATCTACACTTTGGACTTCAGTGATCTAAACTTGGGGGCTGGACAGGAAAGTCACACTAGGCTTGTAAAAACAGAAATAGCACTGTGTATCCCAGCTCAACTGCCTGGCAGGGTTTTTAGGTGTCCCTCTGCACTTGAGTGTATTGCTAAAGAAGGCCCGGCTCTGTGGGTAGAGTAGGTGGGAAAAGAGGAGAATGTGTCTTTTAAAGATGACTGCTGTACTGAAGGCTTAACAGTTATAATGTTCGATTCTCTTTCACAAAGTGTGGCTTTAAATGGTGAAAGAAGGGGAAAATATGATTTTCTTCAGTGGAGGAAAGTGTTAACTGTGGATCTTTGTGGCAAATATGGAACAGAGGGTGGTTATCAAGGAATAAATGGAAGGGAAACAAGTACCATTCTGTGATTCTGGGAGCTCAGCCCTCTTGACAGGAACAAGTGTTAGCACTGGGGGTTTAGATAAGTTCTCAGTTTTGGGGAAGGCTGACAGGTGGTTCTCCTCTGGGGACATAAAATATCTCAGAAGCAGCTGTCCCACTCACTGTCAGGTGTCAGGATCATTAGTATTGCAGCAAACTGGAGGATGAAAGAGAATCTCTAAAATCCCATTATCTAAGATTATTCTTGTACATGTCTGATTTGAAAATAATGGACTGATGAAGACAAAATTGAATAAATGCTGTATTTCCTTACAAGTGGCGAGCACAGTATGCATCCAGGGAAGTAAGGGTCTGTCTTGGTTTGTGATAAACAAAGGGAGAGGTTTGACCATGTTTTGTTTTTGAAGGAGAGTAACCTTTGCTAGAGGACAATATATCATACCAGATCCAACAGCCCGAGAGAGTTGAGACTGCTGCTCCATGTCCAGCCAGTAGTGAGGCTGAAGATGTATTCAGCAGGCACACACACACGTATACACTACATTATATATGTTACGTATACATGGCTGGCCACACAAATCACAGGCAGACACTTAGAGCACCCACATGAACATAGGCAGCACCAACAGCCTCATCCTGCTCCCCTCTCTGGCTGGACAAGATGGAAGTCCACAAGTGAGAATATACATAGACATATGCACAAGGTGGATCACTTCAGCAGCTGGGCTTAGACACTCAGCCCAGTATAGCTGCCCCTGGATCCCAGTCTCCTCAGTTGCTGGCACCTGGACATACAAGTCCCCAAGGTCGTAGCCCTAATCCAGTTGCTAGGACAGACCATCAAACGCGTGCACACACACAGAGCTGGCCAGGATGTCACATGTCACATGTCCCATGGCAGACCCGCTCTGGCTCTTGCCCTTAGAGATGCACAGGTGATCTCAGATCCAGAGCTGGCCATTAGAGACCCACACACCCTCCTGGCTCCCAGGCCACTTTGCATACTCGCAGACTGGCCCACTTGATCTTTGCTAGCCATCACACACTTGCGTACCCACACTCACTCCAGTTGCTGGCACCATAGACACATGGGCCCTCCGACCTGTGGTCTGACTCCAGTTGCTGCATTCACACCCTGATATGCACACGTGCCCACAGAATTGAAAGTACTCACCCAGGAAAGAGTCCGAAAGGAACTTAAGAAGACAAGAGACTGCGCTGATCATACGCAGGGCATGGCCAGACAAGTGTACTGACCATCAAGCTATTTACCTGCATCTAGCCCTTGTTATCCCCTCACACCTCTATTTTCCTCACTCTTGTTCCTCCCAAAATCACCTAAACCTCTCTCTTGCCCTGCCTTTTGTTCCTTGGCAAAATATTTCATAAGAAGTCCTGTGCAATTCCAAACTGTTCTTCCCCCTGCACCCTATAATATATACCACCTGTAGGCAGTGATCCCCTTAGTCTGCAAGGTGATCTGGAGAGCTGCTTCTGGTGGCTGTGGTGATGGGTCTCGTGCCTGGATGCTGGGACAGCCCTGGGAGGGGCCCAGACAAGGTGCTGGTTCCTCCAGAGTCCTTGATCCAGGATCCTGCCTGCCATTGTGCTTCTCTGAGCTTGGGCAGATGGGCCTGGGAGTAGCCCAGATGGGTATATTTGGGCTCCCCCTCCTGCCATTGTCCCTCTGAGCTTTTTGTGGGTGTGCAGATGAGATTTGTCACATAGCCTCACAACCTGAACCTGAGCTGTGTTTTTTTGATGGGGCACTGTGGCAGCATGGAGAAGCCAGGATGCTTTTTTAAAGATAACCTAAAGGCGTAATTCAAGCATGTCGGTATGAAGGAGAGTTCAGCATGTGGCTCTGCCATAATACTGTCCGGAGGCTCGTGGTCTGTTGCCTTCCCTGTCAACGTCTTTTTCTTCTTTCCTCCCCTTCAGATCACGACGGTTGTCTTGGGAGAGCAGGCTCTGACGGGAGCAGTCTCGTGGTCTGCTGCCTTGCCTGTCAGTGTCTTGTCTTTTCTTTCCTCCCCTTCAGATCACGAGAGCAGGCTCCGACGGGGGCGAGGCTGCCCAGGATGTCCAACTGCCTGCCAAAACTAATTGACCAGGGTGGTGCTGAGCCACAAGCTCAGGGCTCTGTTTATCTTCACCTTTAAGTTAATGTCCTTTGCCTCCATCATGTTGTACTGGAGAATCACGGAGGACCCTAAGGGCAGGGGCCAGGTCTACAGTTTGCCTGTTGAGATCCGCTGTGCTCACTCTGTGCCTTCTCCTCCCCACGCCATGGCTGGTGGACCCTCTCCTTCCCCAGGGGATGTGTTTTTTGTGGAGACCTCGGAGCGAACTGACCCAAGTTACCTGTTCACATGCTCTGTGGAGTCAGCAGCCAGGACGCACCCTGGGACAAGGGTCGTGGTGCTCATGAAAGGTTTGCCTAGTGGGAACGCCTCATTACCCAACCACTGGGCATTATCCTTGCTGAGCTGCTTCCCCAACGTGGAAATCCGGCCACTGGACTTGACGGAGCTTTTCTCAGGGACACCTCTGGCAAAGTGGTACTTGCAGGCTCAGCAGCGCTGGGAGCCTTATTTCTTACCTATCCTGTCTGATGCCTGCAGAATCGCCATCATGTGGAAATTTGGTGGCATCTACCTGGACACAGACTTCATTGTGCTTAAGAACTTAAAGAACCTCACCAATGCGCTTGGTACCCAATCCAAGTATGTACTGAATGGGGCCTTTCTGTCCTTTGAGCCCAAACACAAGTTCATAGAGCTTTGCATGCAGGACTTTGTGGATAACTACAACAGCTGGATCTGGGGGCACCAGGGCCCACAGCTCCTAACACGTGTCTTCAAGAAGTGGTGCTCCATCAGGAGTCTTCGGAGCAGTACAAGCTGCAAAGGAGTGAGTGCTCTGCCCCGTGAGGCTTTTTATCCCATTCGGTGGCAGGACTGGAAGAAATACTTTGAAGTGGTGAGCTCCTCGGAGCTTCACCACCTCTTTAATAACACCTACGCGGTGCATGTGTGGAACAAGAAGAGCCAAGGGACAAGGCTAGAGATCACATCCCAGGCTTTGCTGGCTCAACTGCATTCTCACTTCTGCCCTGCCACGTATGACATCATGAAGAAGGACTCTGGACGGCAGTGACTCAAGGGTCAGCTAAGAGATGTTGCCCAGGAGCCCACAACTCTCCAGCTGTTCCCTCACAAATGAACCTTCTTTTGAAGTGAGATGGTGGGAGTTGAGGATAAAAGTAATTTGTGGGGTGTAGGTGGAGCCTGCAGCTTCAGCTGATGTCTGTGCAGCTCTTTGTCCTGATTTTAACTGCCTACCAGCAACATTTTGTTTCTTTGCAGGACATTGCTTCTGCTCTGCTTGGTCAGGTAGAGAAATCTCGGGAGTGGAGCAAGTGCTGGGCCACTTGTGGCAGTCTCCATCAGCCTTTCAGAGGAGTAAGGCCCCTTTCTATGGCTGTAAACCTGGAAGAGGCCTTTGTGGAAATGTGTATCTCATTGCCTGATTCTCAGGACTTCTGAAGTGCAGTCCTCAAAGCAACAAAAGGATGGGAGAGCAAATAACAACAACTGAGGAGCAAGTTAAGGATATGCTAGAGGAGGTGTCCTGAGAAAAACACAGAGGAAAACAGAGAAGAAAGAAAGGGCTAAAGTAACTTTTTCTTTTCATTCCTTTCTCTTCCGAAGCCTTTGGCAGAGGAGACTTTCTCATGTCTGGTTTGAGCAGGGAGTAGGATACTGCAGTCTGTATTCAATGTCGTAGATCTAAAGACGTGGAAGTTTGGTGTGAATCAGAACATGAGGACCTGAGGCCAGCTCCTTTAGAAGGAGATCTTGTGCAGCAATGATCTATTTTATAGTAGTGGCAAATTAACACCCTGTGATGAGCAGGAGAGCTCATCTAAACCATTGCACTTGACACAGGAAGAGCTGAACTATCTTTTACACTGAGTTTGTCTCTGTGACCGAATGTCCACAGCTGTGTCTAAGATGCACCAGATCTTTCAGCACTTGGCTGGATCCTAAAGGAAAGGCATGGTATTTCTAAGTATTTCCAAGGTTACAGAGAGCTTAGTAGGGAACGTCTACTGTCTAAATTCAACTCCATTTAGGAGTCATTTATGGTAGACCTCTTCAAGTAGCCTGGAGTACTCCTGGAGTACAAAACTCTCCTGGGACGTCTTGAGGAGGGCAGTAGTGGAAAGCTTTACTCTCCTCCCTGAGCATCTTTCTGAATTGCAGTGGAGAAAGTTAACTTATCTCTTGCAAAGTGCTGTTGTGCCTTTGAGCGTTCCCACCACAGAGGCAAATTTGTTGGACAAACCGAGAGAGGAAACTTGTCCGTTGCCTTGATGGCCAAAAGGACGTATTGATGCTTGTTGTGGTTTAGCCCCAGCCAGCAGCTAAGCACCATATGGCCGCTTGCTCCTCCCCTGGCCTGGTGGGATGGGGAGGAGAATCAGAAGAAAAAGGTAAAACTCATGGGTTGGGCTAACGACAGTTTACTGGGACAGCAAAGGGAGAGGAAAATAACAACAACAGTACTTATAACAGAATATACAAAGCTGGTGATATACAATGCAATTTACTCACTGGAAGCCAATGCCCAGCCCGTTCCAGAGCAGTGACTCCTCCTCCCTGTCCAGCTTCCCCCTCATATAATGAGCATGATGTCATATGGTATGGAATATCCCTTTAGCTAGTTTGGTTCAGCTGTCCTGGCTGTGTCCCCTCCCAGCTTCTTCTGAAAATTAACTCTATCCTATCCAAAAACCAGGACAATGCTCTTACAGTTTGTGTTGGAGAATAATGGAGAAAGACCAGTGAGAAACAAGAATAAGTGAGAAACAAGAATAAGGTTGAGACCATCAGCATCATTATATCTGGTCCCCACCATGCTCTAAAGGGGATCACTAAGGCACATGAACTTGGTACTACAATAGGATTAATGCAGATGAGCAGAGCAGTGGCCATTTGCTCTCCTATACTACTAAAGATTATGATCTCACTGTAAAATCTTTTCTGCCTCCAGCGTGCCTCCTCTTCTAATGTCTAGGAACAGCAGTGGTGTAGTCCAATGACCCCTTTGATTGCCGCAAGTCAGTCAGATCTTTAATGTCACCTGGCCCCAAAATGACAGCTCTTTCACGTGGTGCTTCCTGCAAGTCCTCTGAGTGTGAGTCAAATGAGTTTTAGATCTGCAGTTGTCTGAGGCCTCTTCTGTTTCCCAGATCAACCATAAGCAATGTGAGATTTTCTCAGTTTAGCCAAAGCAATGGTCAAAACCGTAAAAGACTGTGCATGCAATATTTTTCTGTTTGTCTCAGGTTTATTTGTCTCTTGGTGATAAAAATGAGAAAGACAAATTGCCCATCACTTTTACAAAACAGCTCCCTGTCCCTCAGGGAACATGGCCATGGGAGCTTAAGGAAGGTGTGTACCTTTTTTTTTTTTTTTTTTAATGCTGAGCTGTCTGGTGTTGATCAGAGGCCGGTGCTGCCTTGACTGAAAGCTACCTGCCTGTGAGTTGGGCAGGGCTTGAAGTTCGTGCACAAGTAGCTACTCTGGAATGAAGAAGGTGCTGGAAACACTTCTCCAGTGGCTGGCACCACATGCATGTATGTATGTAGTGCTGCCCCTTTGTTTTGCCCAGTTTTATGGTATATCCTGGAGGCATTCAGGATTTTGAATGTCTGCAGCTCTCCCAACACTGAACATTTTTAAAAACAAAGACTTTGTGGGGAAACTGCATGTCTTCCTGACTGTATAAGTATTCTTCAACATGCTAAGTGGTATAAATGGATACTGTTTTCACTCCCTACTCCCACTGTCACTACTCTGTGGGGTTTTTTTCACTGCATTCTTTAGAAGCAGATGCAAAATTGTCTGCCCTGGCCTAGTGTGTGGTCAGTGAGGCATGGTTTTTCCTTCTACTGGTTCCTTCTGTTTTGGGTCCTTTGGGCTAAACAGAAATATTAGTGAGCTAGGAACCCCTACCAGAGATGATAAAATGGTGGTTGGTGATATAAAGCCATAGCAGGGAACTCTACTGTGCCAATACCAGAAATTGATTATGGGAACATTTGGGACCCACTGCAACTAATATCTGGCTTGATGTACCACTGCTTATTCTAGGAAAGTGCCTTTTTGGATAAGTGGAGTGGGGTTTGTTGTTGTTGTAGTTCTTTGGTTTGTTCCTCTGTAGAGTCAATGTTCTGAGGTTTGATGAGAAAATCAAACCAAAGCAGCCTTTGGCCTTTTCCCCTTTGTCTTGTGGAAAAAAAAAAATAAAAATACAGTTTTTTACTATTACTTCTCTCTGCCAAGATGTTCCATTTTGTTCTGTGGGGCGTTGGTGGTAAGTCTGAGCAATCTTAATTATTATGCAGAAAAGATATTTAAAGTTGTATCCTTAACTGACTCACTAAAATTAGGAATGTGGAATGAACATAAGACAAGTTGAACATAAGCTCGTGTGGAAAGAAGGCTCTGTGGACCATGACCACATGCCATCTTTGGGACTTGAGTAGAGAGAACAGAGGAAAGCAGTGTGTGGTACTGATTCCTAATCAAATCAGGTATTGCTCCATTATTCATGACCATCAATGTATCTGAAGCAAGGCATTTTAGTCTCACTTTGAAGGTCTGGATTTTATGGAATAGGAAACTTCATGAGAACCTGTGTTGCTTTTCCCCTGGACTACAGCCTCCCTTAGTAGTAACAGTGTCTGTGCTCTTGTAGACCTAAAAGTGGAAAGCTTGTGCTGCAGCCGTTCATTTCCCCACCTGTCATTCAGAGCCTGATATAAAGACCCTGGACTCCAGGGGAGCATTTTGAGAGGCTGTGAAAGGACTGGTGGGGTCTGGTGTGCAGAGGTGTTTTATTGTGCCTCCTGGAGTCAAGACCCAGGGAAAGTTTTCCCTTGAGATGTAAAATAGTTGCCTGTGCCTTCCTCATTACTGATATGCAGTCAAGGATGATGCAAAGGCACTAGCTGTTTCTTGCCCATCTCCTTTGTCCTTGAGCTCATGAAGGTTAGCTGGTACACAGGTGTGCAGTACATCAAAGAGAGAAGCCTAGGGTTGGAGTTTCAGAATTGGACAGTGCAACAGGAGTAAGGAAGGATCAGTAGGGTAATCCTGGACCTGGTCTCCTGGGAAGAAACTGAATGATTATTACTTTCTCTGTGCTGGATGAGAGCGCTTCTATGCCAGGAGTTCTTATGTTGGAGGGGATCTAGGACGTGCAGTAGGTAGTCATGCTCTGTAGGGCTCTTTATTTTCCCCTGTTCTTCTCCTCCCTGTTTCTTCTCCCTCCTCCCAAAATGTGTAGTCCAGGAAGGCTGTGGTGCAAAGCAGGTTAAGACCCTTTCTTGGGGGAAAGTGCTGTTACCTGCCTTAATCATGTACATGTTGGGAGCTGAGGTCTGCCTAGGGCTGGTTTGTCCTCAGCAGGAGAGAAGGGGAAAAAAAAAGCTCTCTCCACATGTTCTGTTTGGACATGCCATTTGTGTACACTGGCACTCTGGTCTTTCTTATGTACTTCAGGTTCATCTCTCTCAAGTATTTATGACCATTCCCTGTGTCCACTTGGCTTGTGGTCTCTCTGGTACCTTCTTTGTAACCACGCCTGGAATTCAGATGAAAGGGCATAGTCTAAAAGAGAAAACTACAGGAGGAAGTCACTTCAGCTGCACCCTGCCATTACAGCTGAAGCTGAGATCTTGATCTTTAAATTTGTGTATAACTGATGGAGCCAAATAGCAGCTGCCATGGCTCTGCAGTGTGTTGGCAGACATATGAGAAGTAAGCAAGTACTCTTCACAAAGTGGAATCTACGTCCGGGGCGGGGGGGGAATTAGGCGCATAAAGTCTGGTGAGTTAGCTATGAAAACACCATCAGTCTATAGAAAACATTGTTTGACAAAACAATGAACAAAAGATATTAAAAGCTACCAACATTATTTTTTTTTCCAACTGCAGAAGGAATAGGAAGCCTGCTAGAGAGGCAGAAGGTCAGTAGGAGATGAGAGATTGAAAGGGAGTTCAGAGATCAGTTTGAAGCAAACAGAACCTAATTTCTGCATCTGGCTACAGGTAAGAGGAATTTGGGGATGTTTCTCTACACTGTAA